CAAAACTAAGGTATGCATTATGCCCTCGGGTGATGAGAGAGAGGACATTTTGGAAAATCTACTTCATTTTAGTTAAAAGCCACGTAGACCCGTAAGTATATGCTTTTTTGGACATGCTTCATTGTTTGTGATTGATGAGTGTTTGGTAGGAAATGCTTCTCTCCATTCCCAACATTAGTACAAAAAGAAAAATGAGAACATGAAAACAATGCTATGGATACAGTCATTGATATATCTAAAATAGGGCCTGATGCTTGCATTTTGTGTTTCCCCATTTGGCTTAGCTTCGAAAAGAGATATATAATGGAAGAAGCAGAACTAAAATCTGCTGCAAAGACTGAAGTGCAAAAAGATTATTCTTCATCTGGTACCACTTCTAAAACCACTGTTGAGGGAAATGTGCAAACCAGTAAAAAGACAACATCATCAACTACTGAGCAAGATTTGGATATTTTCCTTCTAGGAGAGGACAGTGATGATGGACCAGGTAGGTTTTTGAGGAACTGATTCATTATCAAATTGATTGCGATTCGTTTTTCCTCCTAAAATACCAGACAGTATGATCTTTTACATTCTCCCCAAAATTCTTTAACACTCTTTGGTTCAAGGAATTTAAAAAAGGAAAAGAAAAGAAAATGAGAAAAAGTAACTCTTCTTGTCTGGTTAGAGAAGAAAAAGAAAAGAAATTCACCCTTTCCAGACCATACTCTTGTGAAATTCATAATCGAGTCAGATTAATTTCTCTACTTTCGAGTCGGGGTAAGATCTGCGTACACACCCTTTCCAGACCATACTCTTGTGAAATTCAGTTGTTTGTTGTTTACTTTTTGTGGGTATTCTCTCTTTAGTGTTGAGGCACAGTTTGCTGCGAAGCTAGCAATTGTCACCCCCCCCCCCACCCACCATCATCACCCCAAAATACACACACATGCAGAACACCCGTTTGTGGGTTAAACATCTTGGGATGTTTAGAACAAATAATCTGTATTTTCTTTTAACTATCTCAGAGTATATCGATATGTTTGAGACCTTCACACCAATGGAAAGGAATTGTATTTAATCATGTGTGTTACTTTCCATCACTTACTATGTTTTTATATGTCAGATGATGGTGTTGGTGTTTTTGATGATGATTTTGACAAGATATAGATCGGTAAGGCAACTTTCCACATAATCCATATCATGCAGCAATGTTCTTCACATGAGTTTCAAAAGTAATACCATCCAATTTACTTCTCTTAGTGAGCCGGGTCTGAGTGGTCCAACCGGGTCTAAGGGGGCCTCGGGATGGGGCTTGTCCTTTTTTTTCAAATGTAATACCATAGTTTGTGTTTCACTAAATGAGTAGAAAGTAAACGTTCTTCGCGTACTAGCACTATTAGTGTTCGAAATGGCATATTGTGTAAGACTTCAGGTGTATTGAGTCGTAAGCCCCATTTTAAAGTGCCAAAATGTGTATAGAATATTACTCTCTCCGTCTCGAATTAAGTTGTTTGTTTATTATTTACGGGGTAAAATTTCATTATTTACTTTCTTTTTTATTGCTACTTATTTGTTAAAACAATATGGTCATATCACCTCTTATTTTATAGAGTTCTTATGTATTTTTTTGATATGTAAGTTTTATTTTTAATCCTGCTTCAATTCTTAAATAAATTATATTGAAAATAATTTCAGTTAAACATTCTAACTAAAACAGGTAATTTAAATTGGAACGAATGGTGTAATAGAACCATAGTTTTAAAAACCTGTGAACGGCGAACTGGTTTTCAAAAGTTTTTAACACCATTTAGATTCGAAAACAAGACCTCACTATTATATGTTAAGGTGCCTCATCTAAGCTAGAGTACTTATTTGTTTCAAGATACCATAAGTCGTTTAATACTCCATGATTCAAAGAATAAATATTCTAAAAAGATTTCTTTTCTGTTTTACAAACTTTGAAAAATATAATAATGTAGCTGTGATTCAAACTCTTAACCATTGCTACAATTAATACTGATATAGAGTACATATTGTGAAAATATTAACTCATTCAATTTTTTTTGAAAATATTGGGTAAATTATTGAACAAATAAATTCACCTCTTATATTTAAATTTGTTACTATTGTTTTTAAATATGCAAAGAATGTAATTTTGTTTCATTCTAATACTACTACTCAAATAAATTAAATTGATTATAACTTTAGTAATACATCATAAATAAAAAAACTGCTCTTGGATTTTATTTTTAGAAACAGACACATCACATTTTTAAAATATTTTTCAAGGTACCCTCTATTTTGAGAAACTAAATACTGGATATCTCACATATTTAAAATATACTCCAAGGTACCTCCAAATATACATTAACTTACCCGTGAGAGACATTCCGTCTCACTCTCCGTCAAAGTCACTTATGCCATTAATTTTAAGGAATAGGGGTTTGGAATTTCAAAAATAACCTTGGTTCTTATACTTTAAAGATACAATCTATACAGTTAATCGAAGCTTTCCAATGAAACGGAATGTCCGTCACGGGTAAGTTAATATACATTTGAAGGTATCCCAGGGTATATTTTAAAAATGTGAGTTACCCGACAGTTAATTTCTCAAAATAGAGGATACCCCAGAGTATATTTTAAAAATATGATGTACCCGGCAGTTAGTTTCTCAAAATAGAAGTACCCAAGCATATTTTTCTGCATCATAAATTCTCTTTTAATAAATAGTTGAAGTATTAATTTTATATATATATATATATATATATATATATATATATATATATATATATATATATATATATATATATATATATATCAAATTAATTTTCAAATATGTTTGAACCAGCGGTTCAACTATTTGAACCACTAGTTCAAACACTAAACCAGTGAAACAGTGTTTTGACCTATTCGATCACCGATCCGGTTCTCAAAACTATATTTAGTGTTAGACAAAGTGTGCAATTCTAGGGGGGGTGAATAGAATTGGAGTCTAGACTGAGCATTTTTTGCGTGTGTGGTAAAACAAAAATTAAAATGCATGAATAAAGTAAAGAGTAGAGAGGAAGAAGAACACTGCGATATATACTCGTTCACCACCTCGTGCCTAATCCTATCCTTCGAGAGAATCTCACAAAGGTCCTATTAACTTTCAAGTTTCAACGGGTGTTTGAAATTTTTTACAACTCGAGAACTTGAATCCCACAAGACTCAATACTCTACAACACTTGATTTACACAAGTCTTAACTACCACAAACTCAAAGATGTATCTTCAAGTTTGAAAGAACATAACACAAGATGAAAGGCTCACACAATGAGGAAGTATGTGTTTAAATACGTAAGCTCTAGTGGATGACAAAGTACTTACACAAGAAAATATTGTCTATACTCTCAAAGTATTGATTTGTTTTTAGAAAGATTGATAGAGCAAGAGATAGATAGATTTGAGAACAAATGAGAGTTCTTGTGATATCTTTGAATGAGGGTGGAAGAGGGTTTATATAATGTATAAGAGAATGTCTATTATGTTAAATAATAGGATTTCTGAAGGATAGAAATAAAAAAAAAGCGTTTTTTAGGATAGAAAATTAATTTCTGAAGGCTGGAGACAGTAGTGCAAATTGATTTTTCCAAAGGGTGAAAATCGATTTTTGAAGCTTGAGTTTAGACCGTTGTTCACGCAGAATTGAAAAGTCAATTTTTATATATGAAAATTGATTTTTGGAGCGAACACCACAAAGACAGGATCGATAGCATGTGCATGAGAATAATGAATCATGGGACGAATATACCTTAGCTTGTCTCCCATGTGGAATATCTTGATTTGATGCTCCACTTACCTTAATCATTTTTAACATTTAAACTTTGAATATTTAAATGTGATTGGGGTATAGAAACTGAGTCTCAAAAATATCTTATGTGTTGAACGATATAAAGAAAAATATTTTAAAAGATACTCCCTCCGTCCCTAAATAAACTTCCATTTTTGACTTTTTGAGGATTTAAGGGAGGGATATTTTTGTGTTGACTTTCCAAAAATACCCTTGATGTGATGTGTAAAAGTAAGATGTGATAGGTAGATTATTAGTAAAAAGGTATGATGTGATAGGTAGGGTATGAAAAAGTAAGGGGTAAAAGGGGTTTTTTTAAGGGAAAAGAGGAGTTATTTGGGGACAAAGAAAAAACGAAAGAGGAAGTTTATTTAGGAACGGAGGGAGTATTTTCTTAGCACAAAAATGTGTATTTTAAAGCAATATTTTCAAAAAAAATTTACACACTTTTTGTAACTGACTCAATAAGTATATTTTTTAACATATAAAATTTTATTTTTCAATTGACTCAAAAATAATTTTGTTTTTTTATATAACCCTCATAAAAATATTGTTATAGAGTTAAGTATTTTTGTCATCCTTGCAATGCTTACTAAGACTAAATAAAATAACAGTTTTCAACAGAAGTATTTCACTTCACTTGAGAGTGATGTATGGATCTTTCAGTAAACATACATCTTTATTTATTTCTTGATACATTTATTTGCTTTCTTTGTTCCAAAGTTAAATTACATTTTTCATCGTGTTTGTCACTTATCAAAATATGAAAAATAACAACTTTAAAAATACAAAAGGGTTTTAACTCATGTCTAACAATTTTCCCTTATTAGCGAGACTTGGGCCGCAAGTCATGGCCACCACAAAGACCGTATCCATGAGGGATCTTGTTTCCTTCCCAGACCATGATTTGTTTCCTTAAGTAGATTGAGAATTTATTTCCTTGGAGGATTGTACTCTCCACCCATATATTAAAGGGGGAGATCTTTTGAGAAAACACAATGAGAATTTACCTTGAATATCATTACTGGCTTTAGGGTTTTCACATGGTATCAGAGCAGCAGACGTGATCCGACCGAGAGCCATGGCCGACGCTCAATCGGAGAACCCTTTCTCGAAAGCCACCGGCGAAGAAGAAATAGTAAGGATAAGTCCTTATGAACTCAAATCAGCACACACCTGCGTTGGTGATTACATAGATCAAATTGACGGGGGACAACTACGAAGAATGGGCTCGGGCCGTACGTATCGCACTCCGTGCCAAGAGAAAATTTGGTTTCATCGACGGGTCAAATCCCCTGCCCGAAGACGACGAAGAACAGGCTGAGGAATGGTGGATCGTGAATGCCATGTTGGTGTCTTGGATCTTTAACACCATCGATGGTTCACTCCGAAACTCCATCACCCAAGTTGAGGAAGCGGCGCAACTTTGGAAGGACATTCAAGAACGATTTTCGGTGGCAGATGGACCACGTGTGAACCAACTCAAGAAGGAATTGGCAAATTGCAAGCAAAATGGACAGCCTATTGCCTCTTATTTTGGCAAAATAAAAAACATATGGGATGAATTGGGTAGGATTGAGAAATTGCCTACGTGTGCAAAGTGCCGCGCATGCAAGTGTGGCGCCATTAAAACGATCGAGACGCAAAAGGAGAATGAAAAGGTGCATCAATTCTTGATGGGACTCGATAACGAGGGCTATAGCGGCGTGCGTTCTAACATTCTGAGTACCACCCCGCTTGCACCGCTCAATCGTGTATACCCAACAATTATACAACAAGAAGGCGTCCTCAAAGTGACCACCCAAGAAGAAGAGAAAAACCCAGTCAGTTTTGCTGTCATCGACCGAGCAAACCGGGAGCGAGCAGACCGCGACACGACCAGAGACGTCAAATGCAAACATTGCGGTATGAATGGGAATGAAATCAGTGGCTGTTTTCAATTGATTGGGTATCTAGAATGGTGGGGTGATAGGCCGCGTGGACAAAACAATAACCGAGGAGGAAGCCGGGTTGGTCGCGGAGGTGGTCGGCTGGGGGGCAGAACTGGTGCCTCTGGAGGACGTAACAGCCGGACCCCAGCTGGTTTTGGGACTACTGCCGCGGCACACACAGCCCGAACAGAGAAAGCAAGCAGCGAACGGGAAGCCTTCACATCCGAGCAGTGGAGCACCTTGATGAATCTATTAAAGGAGAAGGACATCCCCCTTGAAAACACTTTTTCAGGTAATCTCACTACCTCTTGGATTATAGACATCGGGGCGAGTCAACACATGACGGGAAACGAGGAAGTCTTAACCCATGTTGAGCGAGTACAACACTGTTCGGTTACTCTTCCGAATGGTGACATTGTGGCGGCCACAAAGAAAGGCCGTGTGCAGTTGAGCGGCACGCTCACTCTAGCCAACGTCTTGCTGGTTCCCAATCTCAATTGCAACTTGATTTTTGTCTCTCAGCTCTTATGTGATAAACGATTAATTGTTCAATTTATTGACAAGGTTTGTCTTATACAGGATTTTTCCTCGAAGACGGTGATTGGAGCGGGTAGGCGTCTAGGAGGTATCTATTTCCTTCAGAAGGGTGTGCCTGACAAAGCATGTGTCGTACGGAGGGACGATGTGGCAAGCACTTAGCATAGGCGTTTGGGACATCCTTCCCATTCTGTTCTCAGTTTTCTTCCTCATATTTCCTTAAATAAAAACCATGTAGACGGTGCTCCGTGTGATGTGTGTTTCCGTTCCAAACAATGTTGTGATTCTTTTCTAGATAGTTATAACAAATTTCAAATTTATTTTCATTTGATTCATTGTGATCTGTGGGGTGCTTATAGAACTGCTTCTAGAACCGGGGCAAGATATTTCTTGACTATAGTCGATGATTTCTCTAGGGCTGTATGGGTTTATTTGTTGAATCACAAAGATGAGACTCCATCTATTCTTCGAAATTTTTTTGCTATGATCGAACGACAATTTGGGACGAGCGTCAAAACCATACGCAGTGATAATCGGACGGAATTCACTTGTATGCGTTCCTTCTTTCAATCTCATGGAATCCTCTTTGAAACATCATGTGTAGAAACGCCTCAACAAAATGGGCGAGTGGAGCGTAAGCACCACCACATCCTTAACGTGGCGCGTGCCTTACGTTTTCAAGCAAACCTCCCCATCAAATATTGGGGGGACTGTGTTCTCACTACTGGTTACCTGATCAATCACACCCCCACTCCACTCCTGGGTCATAAAACGCCCTATGAAGCTCTCCTTGGTCAACCTCCCTCATATAATCACATTCGCACATTTGGTTGTCTAGCCTACGCTCATAACCTAAACCATCATGGTGACAAATTTTCTAGCCGATCTCGAAAATGTGTTTTCCTTGGTTATCCGTTTGGGCAAAAAGGGTGGCGTCTACTCGACTTGGAAAATTTCAAGGTTTTTACAAGTCGGGATGTCAAATTCTTTGAGGATATCTTCCCGTTTCACACTCCCTCTGTACGTACAGATGACACGCCGGACATCCCTCTCGCTGACGACGATGAGGATGCGCCGATGCCCAGGGTTCTGCCACTGCCCGAAGCGCCTGTCACCGAAACCACCCCCGCCACTACTCTTGAGTCCACTAGTGAATCCACCGAACCCACACCCGCCACCACACCTGCCATCAACCCAACACCGGAGTCTTCATCTCCACCTCCCATTCCCTTACGCCGTAGTACTCATGACAGACAGCCATCCACATGACTGCGTGACTTTGTCGTTCACGCCATTCAAGGGCCTTCCAGTGCCTCCTCGACTTCGGCCTCGTCTTCAGGTACGAATTACTGTATTACAAATTTTGTTAATTATGACATTTTTTCTTTGTCGCATAGAGTGTTTTTGGCAGCAATCAGTGCAGAGATCGAGCCAACCAATCTTTCGGAAGCAGTCAAACATCCCCATTGGCGGCAAGCTATGAATGATGAAATCCAGGCCCTTGAAGCAAATAAAACATGGACGCTCGTGTCTCTTCCTCCCGGAAAGAAAGCTATTGGTTCGAAATGGGTCTTCAAAATCAAGCATAAGTCCGATGGGACCATTGAACGCTATAAAGCCCGGTTGGTTGTGCTGGGCAATAAACAAAAAGAAGGGATTGACTTCAAAGAAACTTTTGCACCCACCGCTAAATTGGTCACCGTTCGTATGTTGCTTGCGGTTGCTTCGGCTCGGAACTGGAGTTTACATCAGATGGATGTTCATAACGCCTTCCTTCACGGCAACCTCGATGACGAGGTATATATGCGTCTGCCCCTCGGCTCATCCGCACGTGAACAGGGCCTGGTCTGCCGTCTTCACAAATCCTTGTACGGTTTACGTCAGGCTCCCCGGTGCTGGTTTGCAAAATTGACTTCCGCTTTGCGCTCGTTTGGGTTTGAACAATCCAAGGATGATTATTCTTTATTCATTTTCCATAGGGGGGGTGTAGAGATTCGGGTTCTCATCTATGTTGATGATTTGGTAATTGCTGGAAGCAATGAACAATCCATTGCCAAGTTCAAGCATTTCTTGTCCACATGTTTTCATATGAAAGATTTGGGGCCGTTAAAATATTTCCTGGGGCTGGAGGTTTCACGGAACTCTCACGGCATCTTCTTATGCCAACGCAAATACTCTCTGGACATCCTCACCGAAACGGGAATGCTTAGTTCCCGACCGGTAGTGGCCCCTCTTCCGGTGAACCATCATCTTGCACTGGCCACTGGAGCCGACCTCGGCCACGCTGCAGCTGGGCAGTTTCGTAGGTTGGTTGGCTGGCACATCTATCTCACAATCTCACGTCCCGATCTTGCCTATGCCGTGCACACACTCTCTCAATTCATGGGCTCTCCGAAACAAGAACATTGGGACGCCGCCATGCATACTGTTCAGTATCTCAAGCAACGGCCGGGACATGGTTTATTTCTTCCGGCCCGCTGTGACCTCACTCTCACCGCCTTCTGTGATTCTGATTAGGCTAGCTGTCCTCTCACACGCCGCTCTGTCACGGGCTAATTTATCAAACTTGGTGACTCCCCGGTGTCCTGGCGTACAAAGAAACAACACACTGTGTCTCGCTCTTCCGCTGAAGCTGAATATCGTGCAATGGCAACTACGGTCTGTGAACTCAAGTGGCTGCACTCTCTTCTCCTCTCTCTTGGCGTGCGGCACACTTCCCCTATGTCACTGTACTGTGATAATCAGGCCGCCATTCATATTGCCGCTAATCTCGTGTTTCATGAACGCACAAAACATATCGAGATCGACTGCCACTTTGTTCATGATGAGATTCAACGCGGCGTCCTTCGCACTTTCCATACTGCTTCTCATGATCAACCTGCTAACCTGTTCACCAAAGCGCTTCCGTCACCTACTTTTGAACGCTTGTTGCCCAAGCTGGGCATCCGGAATCCGCATGCTCCAGCTTGAGGGGGGCTATTAGTTTGACTTGGGCCGCAAGTCATGGCCACCACAAAGACCGTATCCATGAAGGATCTTGTTTCCTTCCCAGACCATGATTTGTTTCCTTAAGTAGATTGAGAATTTGTTTCCTTGGAGGATTGTACTCTCCACCCATATATTAAAGGGGGAGATCTTTTGAGAAAGCAAAATGAGAATTTACCTTGAATATCATTACTGGCTTTAGGGTTTTCACATCCCTTTTTTGTAATGACAAACCAATAATTGAGATAAACAAAGGAGTTAAAGTGTGCAAAAAATATCAACGCATCGAAAAACAATTTCACAATAAAAATTTGGGAGAAGTTTTTGAAAAAGTTTTCTCAATTATTCTCCCCCCTTTTGGCAATACCAAAAGATACCTTCGCCCTCAAACAATGTATGGGGTAAACAATAATCTCTCCGTCCCACTCTCTTTGTCCACTTACCTTTTGGCACATCATCCAATGCACTTCTTTAATCCATTTTATCTTGTAATTTGTATATTAAAAATTATAGAAATTATATATTAATAATCTATATGTTAAGACAAATCAAACAAGATTACACATGACTATATTTAGGCTTACACATTGAGAGAATTTGATGAGTCAAAGTGCTTGGATGAACAGTTCCAAAAGTCAAAAGTAGACAAAGAGAGTGGGACGGAGGTAGTATGAAGGATAGCCCCCAAAAAAGGATATGCTATAAAAAAATTCTTGCAAAAATTTTGCAAGATGTTACTTTAAAAAGTTAACTATTTCCATTTTTCAACAATGGGACAATATTCCTAGAGACAATATTGCCCAACCATTTTTCATAATCACAAGGCAAGCACAAAAAAGTCAATGTCAAGCATTACCCATAAGGTTACAATGTTTTAAAAACGAGGGATGAGTTCAATGACATACACCATAGAGCAATAACCATAAAATAACATTCATCATAAAAAGAGGGAAAGAAGAGATGTAACACCCCAACCCGCATAACCCGGATCCACAGGTTAGCGAATCGGGTTGCCACCATTCCGGTATCTAACATACGCTACTTTTCAAAACAATTTAAGAAAAACATCCAACAGTTCGTCAAAACCCAATATCGGAGTAACCATAACATAGTGCGGAAGCTTAATAAGTAAATATATGCAATGTGGGACTCATGCCCGAAAACGTATTAAGTTATTCATAAATAATTAGGAGTTCCAGATCCCCCATTAGTTCCACCCACATCTCCTCGTCCTCATCTCCTTCCAGGATCGGCTCTAGATTCATCTTCTACCTGATCACCTGCGTGTAGCACACAAACAACTACATCTCAGCATTGACGCTGAGTGAGATATAACTAACGTCAAGTAAACAATCAAACGAATCCACAATTCATAATAGTCAGGTGATATCATGCAATCAACACGTAGTTCACACATGCACAGTGCAACCCACACAATATACCTGGCGCTTCACTGTTCCAATCACTTTCAACCTATGAGTTTATCATGTTTGGTGGATCACCAAACCATGTCCCTATAACCTATCCTAGACTAAGGACTTTAACTTTACTGTATGGGAGACATGAGGATTCCCACTGGATCAGGGGTCATGCTCAACCAACGAAGGAGTTCTCCGTTGGGTGGGTGGAATCCCCACCTGATGGATCACCAGGAAGTTCAAGGATACCCGTACGTACGTTTTTACCTGGTTTGACTTAACCGTTGGAGCCCATCAGGCATCCACCTGATTTATACTCTTAATTCCTATATTTGAGTCAGTCCCAAGGGTTTCCCCTGGGTAGACTTACCTCATCCCACATGTTGGATCAACACGTGGTACCTGTTTCCTGTGCGCTCGAGTCGTACTTGCGACCTCATGAGCAATATGTATATATATATACCACATAATTATCATGCGGTGGAACAACACCTTGCAGCAGAGATATATCATTTAATGGTTGGTTTGGGGTGTTGACACCCCTGACTTCTTGTCATGCAATACACACAAGCCTCGGAGTTCGTCCTCGGCGAAACATGGTTTGCTGCCCGGTTCAAGTACCTCACGGTACCCTTAACGGCAGGGGGGTACCGCCCCCACGGTACCAAGGTACCGTCCCACGGTAAGTGGGTACCGACCGGCATGTCTGTTACCTTCGCACGGTACCCTGTCACAGTAGCCACTACCATCCCAGCGGTAGGGCCTACCGTCCTTCTGGTACTGGGGTACCGGTTGGGGACAGGTACCGGCAGAGGGAGGTGAAAACGAGGAAGGTGACGGTACCTGGGTACCGTCCCGGCGGTACTGACCTACCGTTCACCGCGACAGTTCTAGTTCCTCCACCAGCTCGTTTTCCTCTCGGCATTCAACACCCATTACTCAATTCAACGTTCCTACCCATAGTTTCCATCAAAACCCAACAATTCCCGAATGATCATAGTAAACAGGTTTAGTGCAATCCAATCCCTATGACGATTACGAACGTAGATTTCAAACCTAATTGCCTACTCTAACGTTTGGGGTCCACGTACTCACCTCGAAACAATGAAACTAACTCACGAACGAAAGGTTTGGACGGCGAAGAGATAGCGGTGGTTGGTCGGCGACCTCTTCCTCCTTCCTCTTCTCTTCTTCTTCTTCTTCTTCTTCTTCTTATTCTTCCTGGGCGCTGCAGCAGTTGTCGACAGAGAGAGGGAGTGAGAGACGTGCGGGTATGCATTGGTATGTGTGGAGGCGTAAAGGGTTTTAGGCGTGTAGGCTTATATTTATATCTTTGGGGTTTTGGGCCCCGTATTAACTTAACGTACCTGGCCCAAACGCACTTCCTAGGCCCAAGGGCTCCAAATCCGAATCCGATCGCGCCGTTGGATTCGTTCCGTCGAACCCTACACAACGGTATTACTTTCAATATTTGTTGCTAGTTTTTTTAAATAAGTCCCGGGTCCGTCTCAATAATTAATTAATTATAATATAATTAATTAATTCTGATTGGCCGGGTTTCGGGGTGTTACATTTCTCTCCCCCTTAAAAGAATTTCGTCCTCGAAATTACCTGAGTCATTGGTCGCTAAAAAGATGAGGATACTGGGTTTGCATGGACTCCTCGGTCTTCCAGGTTGCTTCTTCCGTGGAGTGGTTCCTCCAGAGCACCTTGACCAAGGGAACAAGCTTATTCCTCAGTTCCTTTATTTCGCGCGCCAATATCTAAACGGGCTCTTCTTCATAAGACAAACTCTCATCGAGGGTGACCGTCCCTTCGGGCAGGATATGAGAAGGGTCGGAGCGGTATCTCCTTAGCATCGACACATGAAACACATCATGTATCTTACTCAAGTCTTGCGGTAATTCGATTTTGTAAGCTACCGGTCCCACGCGTTCGGTGACTCGGTAGGGTCCGATAAACCTATTGCTTAGCTTGCCCTTCTTCCCGAATCTCAACACCTTCTTCCACGGTGAGACCTTTAGAAACACGAGATCATCGACGTTGAACTCATCTCCCGACGTTTAAGGTCAGCATAGGACTTCTGACGATCGGAGGCTATCTGCAGTCTATTCCGGATCACTCGGACCTTCTCCTCTGTTTCATGGACAAGATCGGGTCCTTCGAGCTTCGGCTCACTAAGTTCGGTCCAGCTGACCGGGGTTCTGCAACGTCTCCATACAATGCCTCGTACGGAGCCATTTGAATACTAGCCTGATAGCTGTTATTATAGGCGAACTCCATAAGTGGCAGGTATCGCTCCCAAATTGTCCCCGAAATCGATGACACAGGCCCGCATCATATCTTCTAAAATCTGAATTACCCTCTCCGACAGGCCATCAGTCTGCGGATGAAATGCGGTACTAAAGTTGAGCTTGGAACCAAGAGCCTTCTGTAGACATTTCCAAAACTACGACGTGAATCGCGGATCGCGATCCGAAATGAAAGACTCGTCAGCCGATCTACGATGACCCAAACTGCATCGTTCTTCCTATTAGCTAGTGGAAGTCCCACCACGAAATCCATAGTGATTCGCTCCCACTTCCACTCAGGAACGACCGGCGGATGTAACAATCCACTCGGAACCTGATGCCCAGCTTTGACTTGTTGACAGGTCAAGCATCTAGAAGTGAATTCTGATATTTCCCTCTTCATGGTCGGCCACCAGTATGTCCTCTTGAGGTCCTGATACATCTTGTTGCTGCCCGGGTGCATGGTGTTCGTCGTCTCGTGAGCTTCATGCAATAAGCGCTCCCTCACCTCACCACCAGGTACAACCAGACGATCCTGGTAGAACAAGACTCCGTCGTTGTCGATGGTGAAGTCTTGTCTCTCCCCCTGAGAGACAAGCTCCCTTGTCTTTGCACAATATTCGTCCCTTTGTTGGATCACACAAATCTCACTCCTCAAGGTTGGCTGTAGCCGCAGTTCAGCCATAGTCTTCCGACTCAAAGTGTCGGCCACCACGTTGGCCTTCCCCGGATGGTAATCAATGTAGCAGTCATAGTCCTTAATAAGTTCTAACCATCTCCTCTGTCTCAGGTTCAGCTCCTTCTCAATGAGCAGATACTTTAAGCTTTTATGATCGGTATGTATGTATGTCGTTTCTCCAAACAGGTAGTGTCGCCATATCTTCAATGCAAATACCACTGCCGCTAGCTCGAGATCATGGGTGGGGTAGTTGCATTCATGTGGTTTCAACTGTCGTGAGGCGTATGCTACGACCTTACCTTCCTGCATAAGCACACATCCCAACCCATTATGGGACGCGTCGCTGTACACAGTGTACTCCATGCCCGGTGTGGGCTGCACCAATACGGGTGCCTCAGTCAAGCATCTCTTCAGTTGGTCAAAACTCTTTTGGCAGGCATCTGTCCAAACGAATTTGACGTCCCTTTTCAGGAGTTTGTTCAGTGGGGTTGCAATGGAGGAGAAGCCTTCCACGAAGCGCCGGTAATATCCTGCTAAACCCAGGAAGCTTCTCACCTCGCGGGAGTTTCTGGGAGTCTTCCACTCCGTGATAGCTGAGATTTTGCTGGGGTCCACCTTGATACCTTCCTTCGAAATCACATGTCCTAGGAATGTGATTTCGTTGAGCCAAAACTCACACTTTGACAATTTGGCGTAGAGTTTGTGTTCCCTAAGAACACTCAGCACGACCTGCAGGTGCTTAGCATGTTCCTCAACTGTCCTAGAATACACTAGGATATCGTCGATGAATACCACCACGAACTGATCCAAATAAAGGCAGAAAATGTTGTTCATAAGATCCATAAATATTGCTGGGGCGTTAGTCAAACCAAATGGCATCACCGTAAATTCATAGTGCCCGTAGCGTGTACGGAAAGCGGTCTTTGGAATGTCCTCCTTCTTGACTGGAATCTGGTGGTATCCCGATCGAAGATCGATCTTGGAAAATACTGTGGCTCCTCTGAGCTGATCAAATAAGTCGTCGATGCGCGGTAACGGATAGCGATTCTCGATGGTTACTTTGTTCAACTGTCAATAATCGATGCAAAGCCTCATAGAGCCATCCTTCTTCCGGACAAAGAGCACTGGTGATCCCCACGGGGACGCACTTGGTCTGATAAATCCCTTGTCAAGAAGTTCCTAGAGTTGGGCCTTCGGTTCCTTCATTTCTGCCGGTGCCATACGATACGGTGTCACGGATAAGGGTTCGGTCCCTGGAATCAGATCGACGGAGAATTCTACCTCCCTTGGCGGTGGTAGGCCAGGGAGATCATCGGGGAACACCTCTGGGAACTCACTCACTGAGGGGATGTCTTTCAGTTCGGGGGTTGTTTTGCGCACATCACGTACATTGCAAAGAAAGGCCTCGCACCTCTTCCGGATGAGACGTTTAGCTTGCATAAGGGATATGAACTCAGGGGGTTTAGGGAACAATTCCCCCTTTACTTCGATGATCCCACCGTCGTCGGCCTTCAGCCTTACGGTGCGTAGTCCGCAGTCGATGATTGCTTGGTGCTCCGTCAGCCAATCCATGCCAAGGATAATATCAAATTCCTTGTATGGTAGCTCTATTAAGTTCGCAGAGAGTACTTGTCCGTGGGCGGTCAAAGGGCAATTCCGGAACATGTGGTGTAATCTCATGCTATGCCCTAATGGATTGGACACTATAATGGGGTACTCTAGTCGCCTCTCGAAATGTCAGACTTTTCTGGCATCGGAATGCAAATATAAGATAGCGTAGAGCCCGCATCAATAAGTGCTAGCATGTGGGTATCAAATAATGAGAACATACCCAGAATGATGTCCCTGTTTACTTCAGTTCGGTCCAACATGGCATAGGTGCGCGCTGGAGTTCCTCCGTGTTGGCGATCATGACTTTGGCTTTGACTCTGGCTCTTTCGCGGGTTTGATCCCGCGGTAGTGCGCTGGCTCTGTGTAGGACGGACCGCAGACGGCTATGTCTGCGTCTCGGCGGTAGGAAACGCGGGTCCGGGATTCGTAGGGCAATCCCTCGAAATGTCCCGCCTTACCGCAGCCCAGGCACAGACCCTGTGTGAACCAGCATTCTCCTGGATGGTTCCTCCCGCAGAGGTTACACTTATGGTGCCTGGATGGTCGCGGTTTGCTGCTCGAAGCTCCAGACTGGGCTGGTCTTGACTTAGTCTTTTTGGAATGCTGCATGCTGTGACCTCCCCCAGGGGTTCGCTTGCCACCCGACGTGACGACGCCTTTGTGCTGGGTGGTCGGCTCCTCCGAACCGGCCACACTCTTCTTCCACGCGATCAGCCCCTTCTCGGCTTTCTCTATTTGGTTGTACGCTGCTGTGAAGTTTGTTGTTGGCACAGCTGACAGGTAGGGCTGTATGTCTGGTCGGAGTTTGGTGGTGAACTCCTCAATGCGATCTGCTATGGTACCCACCAAAGTTCCTGCAAACTGGGCTAAGTGATCAAACCTCTGTCGGAACTCAGGGAGTGTCATGTCTCCTTGCTTCAAAGCCACCAACTCAGCTCGTTTTCCCTCCCGGAAACGGGGTGGAATGTACTCCTTCTGGAAAGAGCTGTCGAAATATGCCCATGTCAGTGGCTCAGGTGCGTTCTCACTTGCTCTCTTTCACCACTCATATGCCCCTTTTCGCAGCAACTGGACAGCAAGCTCGGGGCGATCAGCTTCTGGAATCCTCAAGTTCTTTAGTACCCTTGTGGTTTGATCCAACCAGTCGAAGGCAGTCTGTGGTTCTGCAATGTTGTCGCCAAGAAACTCCTCGGCGCCGTTATCCTTTAATGTCTTTAGGGTGACCTGCCGAGCCGGCGGTGGCGGCGGTGGCGGCTGGAACATCTGCGCTTGCTCCATATGCTGTAAGAAGTGCATCATGATGGCCGGTAATACGGGGTCCGGCTGGCCTCCAACATTCTGGTGATTTCCCTCGTTCTGAGGTACGTTCTGTTGTCCCACATTTTGTTGGGGAACGAAGCTGGATCCTTCAGTGTGGGCATCAACGTGTTTGTCGTTGATGTGGTGGGTGTTACCCTGACCGTGGGTGGACGCTTGACTCATTCTATAAGAATTCAAACTTTCCTAATCAGTCAACAACGTATAATAGACAAAGCTTATTAACTTATTACCTTCCCGGGGCATATGAGTCTCAAGAGATGTGGTGTAGCCCTTTTGGAAACCATTCATTCGTGATCCGAAGATCGTTTTTAAAACCATATGCTGCGATACCAAAATGTAACACCCCAACCCGCATAACCCGGATCCACGGGTTAGCGAATCGGGTTGCCACCATTCTGGTATCTAACATACGCTACTTTTCAAAACAATTTAAGAAAATTATCCAACTGTTCGTCAAAACCCAATATCGGAGTAACCATAACATAGTGCGGAAGCTTAATAAGTAAATAAATGCAACTTGGGACTCATGCCCGAAAACGTATTAAGTTATTCATAAATAATTAGGAGTTCCAGATCCCTCATTAGTTCCACCCACATCTCCTCGTCCTCATCTCCTTCCAGGATCGGCTCTAGATTCATCTTCTACTTGATCACCTGCGTGTAGCACACAAACAACTACATGCTCAGCATTGACGCTAAGGTGAGATATAACTAACGTCAAGTAAACAATCAAACGAATCCACAATTCATAATAGTCAGGTGATATCATGCAATCAACACGTAGTTCACACATGCACAGTGCAACCCACACAATATACCTGGCGCTTCACTGTTCCAATCACTTTCAAGCTGTGAGTTTATCATGTTTGGTGGATCACCAAACCCTGTCCATATAACCTATCCTAGACTAAGGACTTTAACTTTACTGTATGGGAGACATGATGATTCCCACTGGATCAGCGGGTCATGCTCAACCAACGAAGGAGTTCTCCGTTGGGTGGGTGGAATCCCCACCTAATGGATCACCAGGCAGTTCAAGGATACCCGTACGTACGTTTTTACCCGGTTTGACTTAACCATTGGAGCCCAGCAGGCATCCACCTGGTCTATACTCTTAATTCCTATATTTGAGTCAGTCCCAAGGGTTTCCCCTGGGTAGACTTACCTCATCCCACATGTTGGATCAACACGTGGTACCTGTTTGGTGTGCGCTGGATCGGCCCAGTCGTACTTGCGACCTCATGAGCAATATGTATATATATATATACCACATAATTATCATGCGGTGGATCAACACCTTGTAGCAGAGATATATCATTTAGTGGTTGGTCCGGGGTGTTGACACCCCTGACTTCCCGTCATGCAATACACACAAGCCTCGGAGTTCGTCATCGGCGAAACATGGTTTGCTGCCCGGTTCAGGTACCTCACGGTACGCTTAACGGTAGGGGGGGTACCGCCCCCACGGTACCAAGGTATCGTCCCACAGTACGTGGGAACCGACCGGCATGTCTATTACCTTCGCACGGTACCCTATCACAGTAGCCACTATCGTCCCGACGGTAGGGCCTACCGTCCTTCTGGTACTGGGGTACCGGTTGGGGACAGGTACTGGCAAAGGGAGGTGAAAACGAGGAAGGTGACGGTACCTGGGTACCGTCCCGGCGGTACCGACCTACCGTTCGTCGCGACAGTTCCAATTCCTGCACCAGCTCGTTTTCCTCTCGGCATTCAACACCCATTACCCAATTCAACGTTCGAATAGGATGCTAAACACGTAATGAATAACACATAATCACGTAATTTTAATATATGTTCTAGAACATGAATCCTACCCATAGTTTCCATCAAAACCCAACAATTCCCGAATGATCATAGTAAACAGGTTTAGTGCAATCCAATCCCTATGACGATTACGAACGTAGATTTCAAACCTAATTCCCTACTCTAACGTTAGGGGTCCACGTACTCACCTCGAAACAATGAAACTAACTCACGAACGAAAGGTTTGGACGGCGACGAGATAGCGGTGGTTGGCCGACGACCTCTTCCTCCTTCCTCTTCTCTTCTTCTTCTTCTTCTTGGTATGTGTGGAGGCGTAAAGGGTTTTAGGCGTGTAGGCTTATATTTATATTTTTGGGGTTTTGGGCCCCGTATTAACTTAACGTACCTGGCCCAAACGCACTTCCCAGGCCCAAGGGCTCCAAATCCGAATCCGATCGCGCCGTTGGATTCGTTCCGTCGAACCCTACACAACGGTATAACTTTTAATATTTGTTGCTAGTTTCTTTAAATAAGTCACGGGTCCGTCTCAATAATTAATTAATTAATTATAATTAATTAATTAATTCTGATAGGCCGGGTTTCGGGGTGTTACAAGAGATGCCAGAATGGCTATGTCGGGGGCCACGGTGAGAATGCATGCTTTCCACCAACCGATCAATTCTCGAGTTCGTCATTCTGAGATCTTAATGGGTCACTCGCATGTCGTCGCGTATGCAAGATATGGCGTCCAAGATCTTCTTGACGCAAGAAGACTCGGCGGCGGGTTCTCAATGTCCACTTTGGATGTTGAGATCCATCAAACACAATGCCATCTTAACTTTCAAGCAAAAATAGCTGAATATTATGAGAAACTAAAAGAATTTTATAAAATTAGTTCTCAATACAGTGACCAGAACTCTTAAACACTTGTTTGTCATCATCAAAAGAGGGAAATTGTTGGGAAAAATTATAGATTTTGATGATGTATTTAGATTGTAATAGGGACTTTAGGTCACTCCCAATATTTAATATAATTTTCTTTTTACAAATATTTTTAAAACCGAGTTCTTGAGATTTCCAATAAAACTTGTGATATTTCATTTTGTGGTTTGATGTCACTCTTTGAAGACTTAACGAATTTAGTGATATGGAAATTGGAATTCTCGCTCGGAAAGTCTTGCTACAACCCACTGAAGGCTAAGTCATCCGAATCGGAAGACTAGCGCGAATCACTTTCTCACCCGGAAGTCTAAGAATGACTTATCCGGAACTATCAAAGCCAAGAACAAGATGTTTCAAAGGAAGACCAGAACTCTCAGAAGCGGACAAGTGAGAAAAGACTTAGAAATTTATCTAAGTCATGAACGTATAAACTCTACCCGTTGGTAAGGAAAAATCAATCTTTTGATTTTCAACGGCTAGATTTTGGATAATTAAATTGATTCAACGGTAAAATGTAAATAGAAATAAGAATAAGAATGTACAACTAGAACAGGCATACCCGAGCTTGGAAACGGTTGTTTCCAAAATACATATAACCAAAGAGTAGCACACCAAAAGTCAATAGTCCCAACAACGGGATAGCAAACAAAGCAAAGGCACACACGCCACAAAACAAACATACATCAAAAGGGAACAGTATACAAGGGCCACATCCTCCCTAAGATAGAATACACCATAACCTTGATTTTATAAATCACAACCTGAACGGAAAGAGGTTCACGCTCAAAGTGGGCAGCATTCCGTAGCTTCCAGAGGTGGAAAACAGTGCAAGCCAAAGCAATCCTTCTTGCCTTCTTGCCTTCTTGAGAATCCCTTCTTCACGCCTAAAAGCCTTCAACCATCTGATGGCCCTGGCGAGAGTGCTCAAATGTCCTTCCAAACCAAGCCAGTTTTTGACGTTGTTCCAAACTGCCTTAGAGAACGGGCAGTTAAAGAACAGGTGGTCCACATCTTCCAGCCCATGTCCACAGAAGGTGCAGTCCATAGGTAAACCGAGGAATTCCAAGTTTGTTTTGGTGGGCAGCCTCCTCCTAAGTGCCAGCCACATCGTAAAGGAGCACTTAGGAGGTATATAGCTTTGCCAGATAAAAGCCATCCAAGGCTTGGGGTTGGCTTTAGCCCTAAACAAATCATAAACCTTTCTTGGAATAAGGTTACCTGCCAAACAGTAAGGACTCAAAGCCTCCTCCACAGAGGGAAAGTGGTCAGCTAGCTTTTGAAGCAACAGATCACGCACATAGGCAATCCTCTTGAAGAAAACAGAATGCCTTCTCTTGGGTTGCCACTGCCATATATTTGCACCCTGAATATAAACATTGTGAACCCATTTAACCCACAAGGTATCTTTTTTGGCAGCCAAGTTCCACAAGAGTTTGCACAAAAGAGCGTTGTCCCAGGTTTTGGCACCCTTCAACCCAAGTCCTCCTTCAGTCTTTGGTTTGCAGATATCAACCCAAGCAACCTTAGCCAGTTTACTGCCCCAGAGGTAGTCTCTACACATAGAGGTGATACGCTCAAGTACGTAGTTTTGGACAGGAAAGGCCTGGAGCCAGAAGGATTGGACGCCCTGTACCACTGCCCTGATCAGTTCCAGTCTGCCAGCGTAGGAGAGTTTCAGTGTTCTCCATTTGGATAGGAAACCTTCAACAGATTTGAACAAGGGGGCGAAATCACTCTCAGAGATCCTTTGAGAGGCCAAAGGCAAACCCAAATATCTAACAGGAAGCTGACCACGAGGGAAGGAGGCAAGATCCAGGATATTTTGGCTAACATCTCTTACCAGTGAGGAAGATGTTGGACTTGGTAGGATTAAGGGTTAGGCCAGAAACCCTTGAAAACTGATCCAAAACATCCATTAAAACCTGCACTGAATGAAAGTCCCCTCTGGAGAACAACATAAGATCATCTGCAAAGGCCAAGTGCGTAATCCCAAGAGCAGCACAATCTTTGTGATAACTGAAACCACCTTCTTTAGCCCTTTTGTTGAGTAATCTGGAGAAATACTCAATACAAAAGAGAAAGAGGGTAGGTGCCATGGGGTCTCCTTGTCTAAGCCCACGTTGACTAGGGAAGAACCCATGGCAGTCACCATTAACCATAATGGAGGAGGTAGCAGAGGAGACACATTCCATGATAAGAGAGACAAATCTAGAAGGGAAGCCCAGGCCATGCATGACATCCTGCAAAAAACTCCAAGAGACAGTATCATAAGCCTTAGTAATGTCCAATTTGATCAAACAGCTAGGTGTGGACCTCTTAACAGCATAATCCCTGATAAGGTGTTGGGCTAAGAGGAAATTATCCACAAGGGATCTCCCTGGGACAAAGGCCCCTTGTGCTGGATCAATCATGTCGGGGAGCAGGGGAGCCATACGCTTAGCCAAAATTTTGGTAATGATTTTGTAAAGAACATTGAGGCAGGCAATAGGCCTAAAATCTTTAACAGTTGGATTATGGGCAGATTTGGGGATGAGAACTATCATGGCATGATTGATCTGTCTCAATAATCTCCCAGAGCTGAAGAATTCCACCACTGCTTCATAAATGTCCCTGCCCACAAGATCCCATTGGTCCTTGAAAAAGGCAGCAGTGAAGCCATCAGGACCTGGGGCCTTGTCATTGCCAATGTCAAACACTGCCTCCCTAACCTCCTCTGGTGTAACAGGAGCAAGAAGAGCAGAATGAGCAGAAGAGGGAACCCTTATTCCAGCAGACAGAGTATCCAGATCAATAGGGTCAACTGAAGAAGAAGTGCCAAATAGATTAGTGAAGTACTCCACAAACATACTAGCCACCTCAACTTTGGAAGTGGTTTTGGAACCATCTCCTCTAACCAAGAAGCCAACTGAATTTTTCATTCTATTTTTCTTAACAATGGAGTGGAAATAGCTGGTACATCTATCAGAATTCATAAGATAATCACATTTAGCCTTTTGTTGATAAAAGGCAAATTCAGCATCAAGGAAAAAGTTGGCTTTCTTCCTTTTGATTTCAGCATCATCAAGAAGGTTTTGATTGTTTGGGTCCAGGACCACCTGCTTCATCACCAGCCTATACTCTTCCTTAGCATCCATAGCTTTTTTAGAGATGTGGCCAAAAGCATGCTTGTTGAGGGATTTTAAGGGGGGTTTGAGGCGTTTGAGCTTGGAGCACAAGGAGAACTGCTTAGAGCCAGCCACTCCAGCCTCCCAAACCTTGGAAACCAACCCATGGAAGCCCTCATGTTTGAGCCACATGTTGAAAAATCTGAAAGGCCTGTGTCTGTTACCTTGAGGTGCGCCACACTGGAAAAGAATGGGGCAGTGATCAGATAGGAAATTGAAGTCCAAAAATTCACATGTTGGAGCCAGCCCAGTGTCACCCCAAAACTGGTTGGCAAGAACTCTGTCTAGTTTTGCAAGCTTGTTCCCTTTATGCCAAGTGAAGAAATTTCCAATAGAAGGAACATCTTCTAAACAGTTAGAAGACTTGAAACCTTGCAAATCAGTCATATAGCACCCTCCTTGGTTCATACAGTTCACTCTCTCGTTGCTAGCCAAAACACAGTTAAAGTCACCAAGCAAAGCCCAAGGTTTGGAAATATTCTGTGCTAGAGAGGACAAATCATTCCACAGCTCCCTTCTCTTAGGAACTGTGTAAAGGCCATAAATGAAGGAAAGCAAAAAGTCATTACGTGTTGTGAAGCATTGAACTCCGCAATGAAGATATTGTTCACCCACTCCCAAAACAGTACAGGCAAAAAGGGAGGGGTTCCACAAAAGGACCATACGGCTGCCAGGCAAAACATCAAAATTGGTGGCAAATTTCCACCCAGGCAGTTTAGTAGCCACAAAATTCTCCAACTTGGCTCCTGTGATCTTAGTCTCCAAGAGGCATACAAGGTGGACATCAAAATCAAAAATGTATTTACACAAAAATTTTTGTTTGGAGGACCTTGAGAGTCCTCTAATATTCCAGCATAAGACCTTCATGGAGGGGGAGGGCCATTGCCCTTACCACCTTTTTTCTTCTCAGGTTTCTTCCCAACCATGTTTCCATCATCAGTCCTCTTCTTCTTTAGCAAGTCAGCACCATTACCAACCCTGTTACCATCAGCAGTTGGGGGTTCACCATTCTTACCAGTAGCTATGGGTTCTTTAGTCTTCTCCTTGCTGTTGGAAGAAGAAGGAATCAAGCCCCCAATAGGCTCATTACTTTTCCCAGTAGCAATCCACTCCTTAGCTCCAGCTTTCTCAGGGGGTGCTCTTTGCTCCTTTGGCATGTCCATAGCAACATTTTGTGTGGCTTTCAGTTTTTCCAATTCCTTCTTCTTTACCAGCACCAAGGGTAAAATGTAAATTATTATTACCCCAACTCAGAACAGTACATCAATGTCAAATGCCGAACCATAAGAATGGTTCCATGCATATAAAAGACAACAAACATCAACAACAAAGCCAAAGATAATACAACAATCAACATACATAAACTTGGCACGCATAAACTTGGCACGCAGGCCATACAAAATACAAAACCATCACTAAAACATCAATGTGGTCCCACTTCATCATAGTGGACCACGTCCCGGCTCTTGTGGAATCCGCTTCCACCTACGAGTACCATGCATCATCCCGGCAATAGTACGGTAGGCAAAGCAAGAGCATGGAGGGAGCATATATCGGGGGTATCAGCACAGACCACCCATATATACTCCCTCCCCAAGGATCCAGTACGAAAAATGCTCAATCAGGATTCAAAACCAGCTTCAATGTTCTTCATTCAATGTCATGCATCCAAAAGAGGCGAGTGAGATGTTAATCTTACAATAGTCACCATCATCCATCAACGAGGTTGATGCTTTCCACCAGCATGCCAAGGGGCCAGTCCCTGAGTGCCAGAAGTTGTCCACCCTCGTCAAGGCAGACAGCTTAACTCCAAAGTGACCCGAGAGACACACACTCTGCCATACAAACCCCTCCCTAGGTCTATGGTTAGAGTTCCCCCAAGGTATTTGGCAAGCATCCCCATAAAGACTAGGCGCAAGTTCACTAGGTTGTCCCATAAGCCTTCATCCACAATTGCCCTCGGTTTGAGTTCAGAAGCAAGACGTAGATAGGCAGGATCCAGCGAAAACAAACTCCCAGCGCAAACAAAACCCGAGAAAAAGCCAAATCAGCCACAAGATGCACTTGTTGGCCGAGATAACCCATGCTCCTCCAAAAGCCCCAACCGAAAGGGTGAGAAAGAGCTTAGGCAGCGTGCCAGCAGGACCATTGAGGCAAAATACAACATAAAACTCAACCCCAATCGAAATGGTATTACCTCCATCATGAGGCAACACCGCGTGAAAAACCCATCCAAAACAGTTGGTATTACCTCCATAAATGAGGCAAAACCAGGGGCATCAGGAAAAAAATACAGCAGCTAACCAATTAGACCATCATGCCCAAGAGATTCAGCTCTAATTCAGCCCACACGCAGCCAAATTCACACTTTCAGAATCAACATCATTAAGTTCAAGCAAGTCCAAAACAGTCCGGCCATAAGCTCAAGCATCGTGTTCAAAAAATCAGTTCAAAAAGTAATTCAGCCCAATTCCACCAAAAAACAGCAGCCCATGTGAAGACAGCCCCCAAAAAGACAATCTGTCTTGAGGTTACTGCCCACCTTTTACAGCAGCCGCACCAGCACCATGTGTATTATCCAATTCATGCATCAAAGTGCCACAAAATGTCAATGGTGATAGTCCCAAAGATTGATCACAAATGACAGAACAAAATAAGTTCCTGAAATGGCAGTGGGGTGACATTTTACCAATACTCCTTACCCCCAAACCAGCTGAAGGCAGGCAGCAAGGAGGTTCAGCTAGTACAGCCCCAACCATTCCCAAGTCAACCCCAACACCAAGTAACAAAATGAACATTTCACATCAGGGTATCCCATGTGCAAGTGCAGTGGTATAACATTGATTACCACCACTGCTAACCACCATCATTTCTGTCCAGCAGCAAGGCCACAAATCGGCAAAGCAGGCACAAACCAGCACAAACCAGTCAATTACAGTGCAGAATTCTTCAATTCAACTCCCTCAAGGCAAAAACGCATTGGTTTCTCCAAGAACATAGCTGCAAGGCCTCAACCAGGCAATGACTGAGTTCATTAGAGCAGAACACCAGTATGAAGGCAAGAAAACAGCTCAAGAACAGCAGCTCATTCCACAAATTTCAATCACAATCGTGAATCAACAGAGGTGTGGTTAAAACATCATAAACAACCTCTTAAACCCATTGCAGCAGCACAAGTTAATCAAAAAAGCAAGCAAAAAACATGACAGAAACGCAGTTCAATTTCTCGCTGTGCACAGTACATACGAATCCCAAAACTCCTCAAATCATGAGGAAAATCAAAGTAAATTGAAACCAAGCTAAATCAGAGGAAGGGTATTGCAAACCGCTCAAAATATCACAAGATTACCCATCGAAATTGTCCGGATTCAATCATAATCGGAGAGACAAAACATCGCGTGAACAGTATATTCCCTTGCGTTGACCTTCAATTCCTCAAAATCAATCGGAAAAAACAGCAGATAAAGTTCATATAAGGAAGCACCTGCTGTAGGCGTCCCTGAATTCCAAAAATTTGATGCAAAACAAGCTCAAATCCATGGAGTAATCGTCTATTCCTTCTTCGCGGTACTGTTCATCGCGCGACTAGAGAGAGAAAGACGTCCGACTCCATATTGGAAACCTCTCTCTTTACCAGCTCCAAGGCTTTACAGTAGAAGGGGCCATGGTTCCAAGTTTTACAGTGAAAACAGTATTTAGGGTCTTCCTCAAACACCACTGTTTGGGTGAATGTTTTACCCATACAGGCTACCACAAAGTTAGTCACAGGCTGTTTTGAGAAATCAACCTCAACAAGCACTCTACAGAAACCTCCTTTGCCTTGCTGTTTGGTAACCAGATCAGTTCTCAGGGGTTTTCCAACTTTTGAAGCCAGCATCCCAATCTCTTCTTCAGACCATAACTGCAAAGGAACGTTATGCAGCTGAACCCAGACAGGTAAGGTGGTGAATTCAGCAAAGTCAAACATAAAACCATGAGAAGGGATTTTGAGTCTAAACTCCTTCCCATAGGCTTTGTCCCTTTCCCTGCCCAGAATATCCAACCTATCAGCGTCGTTTTCAAATTTCAGAATAACCCAACCTTTACAATGGGGAATGATTCTACAAGGTACATTCCAGCTTTTGACAATGGCATCCACTGCCTTGAGGCCAGGGAAGCGTCCAGTGAAGCAACCCACAAGGCAAAATCCCCACAGCTCTTCAACAGGTTTAATAACAGAGTCCGGAATATGAAGAACACCTTCACCAACATCATATTGCTTCAAAATCATACCTTGGTCAGGGTCCCTATTACCTTTGAAGAGGTCAGCAAAGGTAACAGGTTTGGCAGCAACCTCCTCTGGTTCAGGCATTTTATCAAGCACCTGGGGGGTGTTCTGCGCAGTAGTTATATCTACCTGAGGAGCAATCTCAGGGACAACTTCAACAGAAGGAGGGGACGTAGCAGACGAGGAAGAAGCAGTCTGAGCCCTTTCTTTCTCAAGGTCTTGCATAGCTATATCCGTAGCCAAACTGGAGAGCTTCGTACCATCTTCTTCAGCCCCTTTCTTCCTGGGGCTTTTGGGAACCTTCCTCTTAGTTTTCTTACCACTCTGAGCTTTGCCAGAACCCTTAGCAGCAGGGGGGAAATCAGTGAAGACGGCCAAGAGTCATTGGAGAAGATGATGAACAGTAAGGCGAGAGAGCAATTGGGCACCGTTCTCAGCCTAGTGCGCGAAAGGGCAAAATTACCGATAGATATGCTCGCCCAAGAATGAGAAAGCAGAATCTACTCTCAAAGAGGGGAGACACCAACAGATGAGCGCTCAAAGTCGATGGCTATGGTGACGGCTACTGTAGCAGCTCATCGCCAGAGAGCAGTGGCCAAAGATATTGAGAGCTCTTTCAAGATTCTATAATTAAATTGATTCAACAAATTGCATGAAGACGGACTCCTCAAATTAAAGATCTCGCCCAGAATACTCCACTCAATAAAGATCTACAGTTCTAAATTCTTGAACAACAGCTAGATGACAAATCCTATGGAAAAGGAATCCCACTTCAAACAATTGGGTATGTCCAAACACCCACTCCAAAGGAGAACCCTCAATCTCCCTCTTCGTTCAAAATGAAGCCAGCAAATGCAACGGATAGTATATTCCCTTCAACGGATAGATTATCCATCGAGCCTATATATAGCTCCCATGGAAGACTGAAGAAGAGATGATGAACATAGCGAACAACTAACAAAGCTATCTCATTCATAGTTAGCCAAAAAAGCTTGATAAAGAGATATTTCTAAACTCCTTATCTAGAAACAAACTTCGCCTTCTTCCAAAGAGCTATAGTGTAAACACTTGAAGGTTTCCATGCCTCAATTACCACACCACGTTGAAGGATACAATTTTTAATCAAATATATTGATTAAAACGGGGCACATCAACTTTCCTACAAGTTGATTTTGCAAGTCCTATTGTTCGGACCTTGCAGTTGTTGAAGAAGCATGATCTTCGAAGGAACAACAAAGCCAGCAGGAGTGCAGTAGCAATATTGGCCTTGCAAAGATATACTGTGCAAAAATTCACAAAAAGTGTAATTGTTGGTTCATTTTCAACAACCAACTAAAGGATTACCCCACCTTCGAACCTCGTTAAAGTTTGCGTCTCTCTCTTATCTTTACTTATATTTGCATTTAGTTTAACTATGAAAACTAACCCATCCATATTGATTACTGCTCCAATAACCCATCTGAAAGGTAACCACGGTTGGGAGGGTAGCGGAAATATGAACATTCATGCTCCCAATAGTAGTGATTACTACCCAAGAACACGTACTAAAACTATAGTTATGGATAGAAACTTATACCTTCTCTGGTAAAGTGGTGCGAACATGAAGTCGAGCAAAAGGTGTTGAAGGAGCAAGCGTAGCCGTTCAAGCGTCTGGCCTCCAACTTTGACACACGAACAATCTCCAGAGTGTACTATAATCTTTATGCTAGTAAAGATTATAATAATATATTTAATATAAAGATTATTTTGGGATAATATTAATTTTCTATATTAAAAAGTAGAAAATATATCAATAATAATTTAAAGAAAATATTATAACATTTTCTACACCCAAATTGATAAACTTTGATTTTACTCTCCCTTCCAATTTTTTCTTTCTTACGGCGCTTCTTGAAGAAAAAAAGAGATATTAACAGGGGAAGAGAAAAGGCATGGACATAAGCTAAACTCCAAAATAAAAAATCTATCTCCACTCATATCCATGCATTCAAAACACTTCAAGAGACATTGTGTCATGTACTTCACACGTACATGTACATACATTTCCTTAATAACTAGTACCCTAACCCGTGCCTTGCACGGGATTGAACGATATTTCTATCGATTCAAAAAATCTTACTATATACAATGCTAGGATGCACTTTTGAACAGTGTTCCCGCCCATTTCATTGGGCTTAATTGGGCCGCCTCTGGCTGGGTAACGATTGGGCTGTTGGGCCGTTTTTTTGAGGCTGCCATTGGGACACGTTTTCAGAATGCAATTAATGGATTGTCATATCAATGCTTTTGAAATGATTAAAGTGGTGCACTCCTCCATAAAGTAGATTTAGAAAATGCGTGGCTCCGTAAAGTAATTCAATTACAATCCAATCTATTAATGCACTTATGCACTTACACTGTGTGCGTGTGTATATATATAGAATGTTGTATTTTCTTGGCTAAACACATCTCATTTACCGAAAACAGTAGCATTAGAAAATTCACAACAATGGCTCTAGCTCCACAAAACAATTGCCGATCAATGTTTACTCCTATTTCCGACATAGACAACACTAAAAAATCATGGATTCTCATGTTAAGGGCTGTGCGTGTTTACTTTGTTCCGAGGTGGGCAAAAGGCGGGGATTCCATGGAGATCATATTTCACGATGAGCATGTATCGTATTCCCCAAGTTTTTGTATTTTCTTTTCGAATTATTAAATCTAAATATCTCACTTACTTTTTTTTGAATAGGGAAATAGGATTCACGCTCATCTCAACCGACCGGAAAAAAGTAAATTTGAAAATCAAATCACCGAGGGTGGTGTTTTTGCCATTCGAAATGTGTTTGTTCATGACAACTACCAGAGTTTGAAAACCACTTCAAATGATAAGCTTTTGGGATTTTTTCCAAGACACCGAGGTGAAAACTTTGTTTCGGCTGGATTTCCCAAGCTTCATGTTTGACTTGAAGCCATTTCCAGTTATTCAAAACCAACCGTGTTTGAATGATCAGCTCTTGATTGGTATTATTTTTTTAAAAATATTTACGAGTAAATATTACTCCCTCCGTCCCCCATAGATCTTCCCAATAGCCCTTTTTCTTTGTCCACAATAGATCTTCTCATTTCATCTTTTAACAATTAAAATATCACAACTACCCCACTTACTTTATTTATTACACCTAACTCACCTCATTTAATACACTCGACCCATTTTCATTAAGGGTATCATGGTAAACTTTCACCTTTTTTAAACTCTTCTTACAAACCACAAAAAGTCAAAACGAGAAGATCTTAGGTGGACGAATGGAGTATTTGTCAAAAGTCAAAATTATTCGGAAAACACGTTACCCTCTTTGTAAATCACGAAATATTAATGCAAACGTGATTGGAAAGATAGTTGCTCGAACAAGTGTTCAAACAAACTCAAAGAGAGGCTTGGAACAGAAATTGATGGAAGTTACCCTAGAAGATCATGAGTATATGAGTTAATAATTACAGAAATATTTTTAAAATAAGAAATTGCACATTCGGATTTTGTTTATGATACGATATTACATGGGAAATCGTTTGGGTTGCACACTATGGGGAGAATACGTGGACCGATTCATGGATTGTTTGACCCAAAACAACCAAGAACCGGTTATTATGCTTTTGAGCTTTTGCCGCCCGAGACGCTATATGGGTAAGCAACATATTTTTTTTATTTCGTTCTTCGTTATTTGAACATGAACGAAACTTAATTTCTTTGCCCATGTTTTGTAGGGACTGTGACTGTCTCTACTGCATTTCATGTTACCAAAATGATTTTTTATAGTAATTCTCCGAGGTTGAAGAATTTAGAGCAAGGTATATCATTTCTTTCTAAATATCGAATAATTCAAGTGTAAAAGCTAAATCTACTTATCTAACGTGTGGTAACATTTACACAGGTTGCCTCCACAAGTGGATGACGGAATGGGAAGCATCGTTCTGAACGGTGGGGATGCCGGGGACCAAGGTGTCATCAAAACAACCACAATCAAAGCTCTTTTTGGACAACATGAAGGTAAATACGGAACTTTTAATATTAAAATACCGAATAAATGATATCATGTTTTAATTAAAAAACAAGTAATATAATGTTTTTTTGGACAGCCTGGGCCTTATTGGATTCTCGGGGAGATCGCTTTGTTAATCGTTTTAGTCGTTGTGCCCACGCCTTAGAGGGGGGTGAATAAGGCGTTAAAAAACTTTTTGGAGTTTAATAAAAACGGTGTAGGCAAATGCGGAAGCAATATAAAAATGCAAAAGTAAAAGCGTAAAGTAAATGCACACCGATTTTATACTGGTTCGGGAACTCCCTACTCTAGTACCTTGAGGCTCCTCCTCAAGGATTTCCGAATCCACTAAGTTCCGGCCTCTTGAACTCCGTCAAAGCACCACACTAGTTTGGCAAACAACCCTTGCCAATAGGATTCACTCCGAGATTTTACAACGGCTATCTCGTACCGTTCCCCCAAGGATTTCAAAGGCTATCCTTGAACCTTTACCCAAGGATTTATACGGCTATCCTTAACCGTTACAACCTGAGAATTTAACGGCTATTCTCGACCGTAAGAAGGTGTGTTTGAGAAACACAAACAAGAGTTCTACACAACGGCTTGAATATAAAAATGAAGAACAAAACTTAGCCGGTGTAGAAGGAAGGTATACTCTCTCAAAAATACAATTCAAACTTATGAATATGAGAGTATATAACTAGAAACACAAGCTCAAAGTGTGTGTATAAAAATCAGGAACTTTAAGGCTCTTAAAATAGCCAAAATATAGAAAATAATTAATGAAGGAGTGAACACACTTAGAATATTAAATAAGGATGTTTGGAGCTTTGTTTCTTAAAGAAATATGAAGGATTAGGCTTGTATTTATAGTTGAAGATGTTAATTAGCCGTTGGGAGGTGATTAGGGTTGATTTAATTCAAAATTGGCAATCAGGAACAGTGCTGCCAACGGATCCGGTACCCTTCACGGTAGGGTCAGTATCTTCTGGTACCTAGGTACCGTGACCCACGGTATGGCCTACCGTTTGGGGGTACCGTGTAAGACAAAAGTTTGGTTCGCCTCTGGCGGTACATGGTTAGGCGGGGGTGGCCAACCTTCTCTGCCTACCGTTCGGTACCCGGGTACCGTTACACGGTATGAGGGTACCGTGTAGGCGGTATACCCTACCGTTTGGGGTACCGCTAGGGGTACCGTGCTACTGTCCTGATTTTTTCAAAATTCCTGTAATCCTTCGTGTTTGAGTTTAAAACCTTTTGGGTATTTGAAAACGTTTATTGGACGGTTTTAAACATAGTTTGTGAGTGCTTTTGAGCTTGTGAGTATAGGTATATAAAATCATATTCTTACATTGGATTCTACCTATATTCTATGCTAGTTTGGTGTTTCAACTTCATTTTTGAGTACCGAATCTTAATGGATTCTTGTTGTACCTGAAACACTTAAACAAACGTCAAGCTCTTATATTGTTTGTTAACATCAAAACATGAGGCTTAGCAAACCAAGGCTAACAATCTCCCCCTTTTTGATGCTGACGAACAATATACTTCAAAGAGAGTTAGGCGGGAGTATAAAAATGAAGCAAGCAAGCTCCCCCTAAGAATAAGCATATTTAAAATATTCACTTTGAACTTTTTCTAGTGTTTAGTAAAAGTTTAAGTTTGATGCAAATAGTTTCATAAGAATGCACTCAAGTCAAGTTGCATATGCACCACTTTGAAGTATACATTTTCTCCCCCTTTTGTCAAAATCAAAAAGGGCATTTTGAAAATTTTTAACCATGTAAAACTTCTTGAAACCCTCCCCCTATCAACATGAATTAAATAAAAATGATAAGTTGGAGATCATTGGGCAAAAGGTGCATTTACAACGAAACTTCCCCTAAAAATGAAAACTCCCCCTAAAATGATGCAAGTTTAAAAACTTTATTTTTCAGGTATTTTTGGGGAATATTTTCTAAAATGCATGATTTAAAGATGAAAAAAAATTTAATCATGCAAACCAAGGCTAAAGCGAATAAAAACATGTATGGGATAAGGTTTCATTTTTGAAAATAATTAAAACCAAACAAAATATCTTATCCCAAAAGGCTAGAAGAACTTACCTTGGCTTATGCCGCTCTTTCTTCGGCTTTGAATATACTTCTTTCCTCTTCACATATTTCTTCCATTTGAGGAAATCCGTATACTTCATTCTCATTGCCTTCTCTTCATCTTCCTCGTCATTTGACTCTTCCGAGGAGCTTGAGTCACTTGAATCATTACTTGATTCACTAGACTCTTCACTAGACGATTCTTTTGAAGCTTTGAAGGCGTTGGTAAGTTTGGGATTCTCACGCATTTCTTCCTCTTTGATCTTTCTCAACAAAAGTTCATGAGAATACAAGGAAGACCAAATGTGGGCGGTTTCGGCCTTATCACATTTGGGTAATAAATCTACGATACTACTATGCCATTCTTTAGGTAAAGAAAATA